AAAAAAGGGTATATGTCCATTAAACTTGATATGAGTAAGGCGTATGATAGAATTGATTGGGATTTCTTGGAGCAGGTCATGGTAACAATGGGGTTTGACCACAGAATGATCAACCTGATTATGAAATGTGTGAAAACAGTGTCGTATTCTGTTCTGATTAATGGTGAACCTTCAGCAACTTTTTTCCCCAACAGAGGTCTAAGGCAGGGGGATCCTCTACCTCCCTACCTCTTTCTTCTCTGCACGGAGGGTTTAATCACTTTGCTACATACAGCTAAAGACAAGGGCAAAATCAGTGGTATCAGAGTGTGTCGAAGAGCTCCTATGATTAACAACCTCCTCTTTGCAGATGATAGTGTGATTTTTTGCCAGGCTACGGTACAGGAAAACCATAATTTGCAAACACTTCTGAGGATTTATGAGATGGCCTCGGGGCGGTGATCAATATGGAGAAGACCTCGATGGTGTTTAGTAGAAATGTGGCAGCTCAACAAAGAAAACAAATTATGGACATGTGGCACCTCCAACATGAGAACAATTTTGATAAATATCTAGGCTTGCCACCGATGGTGGGGAGGGCAAAGTCGAGGGCCTTCTCAGATATTAAAAATCGAGTCTGGAAAAAATTACAGAGTTGGAAGGAAAAATTCTTATCTCAAGGAGGTAAGGAGGTCTTAATTAAGGCGGTCACCACAGCAATTCCCACATACTTTATGTCTTGCTTCCTTTTGTCGAATAGTTTGTGCACTGAGCTTGAGTCAATGATGGCTAGATTTTGGTGGGGCCAAAAAACAGATGAAAGGAAAATCCATTGGATTAGCTGGGAGAATATGTGTAAACTGAAAGTTAATGGAGGTTTGGGCTTTGAAATATTGAGGGATTTTAATATGAGGATGCTAGCAAAGCAAGGCTGGCGATTACTGAATGGGGAGGGAACTTTATTACATACCTTACTTAAGGCAAAATATTTCGCAAATTCAGATTTTTTGAGCTCTAAACTGGGAAGCAACCCCTCCTATACATGGTATAGTATTCTGGAAGCTAGATCAGTTCTACTACAGGGGTGTAGATGGAGAATATGAGATGGAAAGGGAGTGAGCATATGGTTGGATTACTGGGTCCCTGGAGTGGAACCCAAAACATGCCGGGAAGCAGCAAACGTGGATATTTCAGAAATGCAAACCATGACAGTTGATCAATTAATTGACAAACACACGAGATGGTGGGATTGGGAAAAAAGTCAGAACTCTTTTCAATCCAAACGTGGCAGATAAAATCCTACAGATCCCTATTAGTCCGGACTTGCATTCAGACATATTGTTTTGGGAAGCAGAAAAAAGTGGGAAATATACGGTAAAGTCAGCATACAAATGGATGCAAATCAACAAATCTACTAGCAGAGGGGAGTCATCTCATTCTCAAGCAATCAAGGAGTTGTGGAAGACCAAATGGAGTTTACAAATTCCCCATAGGGTTCGAATTTTTGCTTGGCGAGTGTGCTTGAACATTCTGCCGACTGCCTCTAATCTGATCAGGAAGCAGATAAAGGTTTCAATTGGCTGTGGATTCTGCGATGCAGGGGCAAAGGATTTGAATCATATCCTTCTACGACGTCCGGCGTTGGTTGATTATTGGACAAAGTTTCTCCCTCAACTATCACAAGTTGATCGAAACCAAAACTTATTTGACGTGATCATGCAGATAAAAAGGGTTAGCAGTAAAGAGGATATGGGTTTATTTTTTACAATAGCTTCGAGTATCTGGATGTGCATAAACAAAAAGCTGTTTGAAGATGAAAGTTTAAATATGAGCTCTACCATAGATCATGCCATTTTGATGTTACATTTATTCAAAGGAGTCAAAAATCAATCAGGTTCTGCGTTGAACAAATTCTGTGCATGGAAAACTCCTCCGGCGGGGTTCCTGAAACTAAATGTAGATGGTGCGATATTTCATCACCTTCACAAAGCTGGAGTTGGTAGTGTCCTAAGAGACCAAGAAGGAAAAGTGCTTATGGCTGCCTCTAAAGGAGAAAGGGAAGTGGCTGACCCAGAAACGATAGAATTCCTTGCGGTACTTCGAGGGCTCCAGTTTGTTTTATCCACGGGTATTTCATACTTGGTCCTTGAATCAGATTGTCTTCTCGTTGTCTCACAACTCAATGATGCGGAATCTATTACCCTGTCTCCTTGGGGATCCATTATCTCAGACATCTGACGTCTTTTGCTTGCTTTTTCTGATGTTATTATATGTCACGTGAATAGACTAGGAAATGGGGTAGCTCATGAACTAGCCAGACATGCGTGGGAAGTTGAGTCCATTCAAATGTGGTGGGAGGGATTTCCAGACTTTATCTCTCAAGCTATTTGGCTTTACAGTCGTCTGTAATAGTTGATTCTCTCATTAATGCAATTCTTCATTATCAAAAAAATAATAATAATAACAAGCATGTGATAATAAATTTTTTTCCCAATAGTGAGGAAAAGTAACTTAATAAATACCATTATTAATGATTATCTACATATAATAACTAGAAATAACTTGGCATGCTTAGTTGTAGAATGGAATCTTTAAAAAAAGGTTCCGTGATTGTAATTTGAAATCTACCAGTTTTTATTCATAGACCCCACCAAGCCTCTAGTCGCAGGGACACATAAACGTGCTCATTATAAGGTAGAATTTAAGTATACATGTCCCCATCGCAATTTTTCATTGGATATCTCGAAAATGATACATTTCAAAATATATGTAAATCATAGGATAAAAGTTGTAGTCTTCTAGATGTAGAATTGCAAGAGAGAGCGTGCACACAAGTCAAGATTGTAATTTTTACAAAAATACTTAATGTAGAGTCAAAATTGCTGTAAATTTTGACAGTCCTCTCCCATGGGTGGGGCCCACGATTATTTTAATCATGGACCCCACCAAATGTATGTGAGAGGGCTGTCAAAAGTAATGTCAAAATTGATGTAACTGTAGCATTGTTCTAATTTTTAAGGGTCGACATTCAGTAAGCAGTATTTCACAATATTCGATCGTATAAATATCATTTATTTGATCTAACGTTGAATAATCCACTATACAAAATAAGTCATCTTGGCTGATTTCACTTAATTTCCGCTTGATTTTTTAAGCTTATCCATTTGGTTCAATTTTTAGGATACCCTTTCAATAATTCAGTGAAGAATGAACAAAGAAAGGGACTGTTCACTCAATATTAGATTTGAGAGAGAGAAAGGGAGGGAGGATATCTTCTTATTTGAGCGTGAAACTAACCATGAACCTGAAAAATATCTCCACATGACGATAAGGAATATGAAGAAGTCAAAAACTGTAGATTAGATCTTTGTATTCCCAGTCTTTTAGTATAATTGAGGGGAAAAAGATATATGTACAGAGGAAATCCTCCCAGATATTTTACAGGTCAGCAGCTCTTGGTTGATTACTTTTTTTTTTTTTGTGCCACTGTCGAATGAAAAACTGCCAACTGTAACTGTAAATAATCTGGCAGAATTTTACTCTGTAAATGTAGCATTGTCCCGTTTATACAAGCGAATTTTGTTCAAAATAATTTGCAGCTCTAAAAGAGGACATAAAATCTCAATTTTTGTTGACAAGATCTTGAAATTGTGACTTTTCAAAGGGAAAATTTCTTCAATGTTTGAGTCTGTTACCCCCCCCCTCGTTTCGAGGGTGGCAGAAGGCCGGCCACGTGGCAAGCCACGTGTAGGGCAGTCAGAAAGAGCAGAGAGGACAGCAAGTGGGTCGGGAGCCCCGGGAAGGAAACGG